ACAAGCACAAAATGGTTACGAGGTTGTCACATTGACCTACCCAGTATTGAAAGAGTTAAACATTAAATAATACTAAAATATAAAATCTACAAAGTTTGTTAATAAACAGTTGTTAAAATAGATCACTTTCAGTGATCTGTCAGTACCAAGATATTTTGTGATGTATTTTGTTCCCTCACCTCACTTTGTAATATTTGATAATAATAAGAGGCCACCATCTTAAAGTATATTCTAAATATATGTTAGGCTATAATAAGACTTACAAATATGTCAACTATAACTGTATACATTATCATATCTATTTTGTTTCTATAATGTGCAAAGGAAATAGGGTTAAAAGATTTATTTTGGTGATGCTCAGCTGAACTTTTATGTGCTGTAATAATTTAAACTAGGGTGTTCCGTCAATCAGAAGAAGAGCCAGTACGTATGAGGCGTCATAAACTCATTGCACAAGCATTTGCTCAGCAGCAAGGGTTGCATCAAGCTCAGAGCTCTTTCAGTTTTCATAGCACTCATGATGATCCTGTTGGTAAGTTTTATAGCAGTATTGCTATTGATTGATAATAATTATACATTGTACATGTTTATTAATAGGTAATTCCAGTGTAAGTTTATAAAATCAATATCTCTGCTGTATCAATATTTCTTAGCTTATTAAACTCATTATTTCTTACATAGAATATTCTAGTTTAAATATTTTAATTTATTTACTTCATAAAACAGCAAAGGTGTTATCCAAGTAGAATTATGATGCATACTAATGTACATGTAATTTCATAAACAATATGTAGGTTTATTTTTTGTTGTTTGTTGTACAGAGAGTTGAGTATGTTAAATTAAAACATTTTGAATATGCAAATCAGATGACAACCACTGCTGATATAAAGTCATGGTGGAATGTCATGTATCAGAACTACATTTTGACATTGTGTGGTGTTTCATACAATTGCTTTATGGAAGGGTATGTAAAAGCCCTTTCCACTGCAAAATATTCACACACTCAGATCATAAAGATATCTACACATCGTGAATTTAGAATTTCCAAGACAGTGATATTCCATTGGAAAACAAAGGAATATGGATCAATTTGAGGAACCAGGAATGTCCAGAAGGAGACCTGCAATGAGATGTATCCCAGTAATGGTAAACAAAGTGCAATATCTTGTAACAGATGAGAATCTATGAATACAAAAGTCATTGGCAAATGTTGTCCATGTGCTCCAAATAAGAGTATACAACATAATTAAGAAGTATCTCCATTTGGAAAAAAGACAAGTCATGTGTACACAAGGTGTTTTCACAGTATTTCTGTTCAACTATTGCTTACCTAAAGCAGCTGCATAATGAAGTGGATATTAAAGTTCATCCATACAAAGGCATAACAATCATGTTATTGGATGCAGCATTTATGGATAACTGAACTCTTGAAATCATTGTCCTTGTAAACTATATGGAAAGCATTGAGGAAGTATTGGTGAACTTTGGACATGAAAACCTAACAGTGTAACATTTTATAATGGTAACTACACTGCAGAGCTATGGTTAAGATGTATGATCATCAGGTAGAGTATGACTGGATGTGGCAACATAGAATGTAACAGTGTGGTGAGACTCCAAAAACCATTCTAATATAACATACCTCTGTTTTTCAAAAATATAATTTGACCCAGAATTGTTTCTCTTTCTTTGTTAATTGGTATAAGTTTGAGAAGATAAAGCTCATTAATAGTGTTATGCACAGTGTAAAGAACTATGTGTAAATTTTAGAGGACTTTTTTGCAACTAGAGTTTCATGTAAAAATATATATAGTGTTTCAATGCTTAAAGCTAGTAATCCTTTAACTCTCTTGCTACAGGATCAGTTGATTTGACCCCAATCTTGACCCAAAGTTGACCTTTAGTTTTCATACTATAACGTTTAATATGTTTTATGTATCTTCACAAAATTTTGCAAGCTTTCAGTAAATGTTACAAGTCTTTTATAGACAAAAAATCTGAATTTGTAATGAAGTACTTTTACTAATAATTTCTCCTTGAATATATGAAGTCAAAGTTTTGACTGCTCTGAGTGCAAAGTGATTTTCATGTTAAGATGAAAAATATTTTTCTTTTTCTGAAAGTTGTCAAACTTCATTTCTGTAATCACTACAACCTCCTAAATATATTTTAAACGTTTTTTTTCAGTAAAACTTTATACTTTATCTGTTATTTTCTCTAACTCTATACATGGTTGATCAAATTGACCAATCTCATAACCACCATAAAAAAAATACAAAATACATATAAATTACCATTTTTTCTCTCTCTAGAATGACTTCAATTTGTAACAGGAAACCAGAGTTGTTTATCCTAAATAGTTTAAAACTGGTAACAGTATACATTTCTTCTACTTAAATTTTAGTGTTTTATTGCCTTTTGAGCCGTATCTAACTAATAATTCTGCCACATAAGTTGTGAATCACTTGTGAATGTTTAGCTCACATTACCCTATCAAGTTATCTAACACACAATCTACTGGTAAGCTGCTTGCAGACACACCTCATGAAAAATTTTTATTATTGTTATTTTTCTTTATTTTACTTAATCTAACCTTATCTAATCTAATAAATTTCTAATTTTTAAATTTTAGTTTCTTTTATGATAAATAAAGAATACACATGAAAAACAAGAAATATAATACTGACCTGGGTCTTTATTTTGCTATCGATTGTCAATGAAACTTAATCCTACTTTTTTATATTAATTGTACTACTACACTAAATAATTTTTTATTTATTTAACAATATGGTTATGGTTTGTACACATTTGTCTTACTTCTGGTATTGAGAATGATACACAGTTCAACAATACTTAGATAACTCTGAGCTTTCTTAACATATCTTCACAGCAATTTGTAAGATTTTGTAAAAGATTACAAGTATTTTGTACACAAAAAATGAGATTATTTAAACTATAGATTTCTTATTTTTTGCAGTTATTATTTGCACTCAGACTGAATATTTCGAGTATTATCATGAAAATACAGTGCAAGGAAATGTTTAAAATTAAGAAATAGAAAAATATACATACCTTTTAATTTTTTGTCAAATAATCTTAAAATACCTTGTTTTGGTTATATTCTTAATTGCAAGTCTTTACATTTTCACATAGTTTATTTTTTATGTTTTATTTTTCTCTCTTATTCTTTAGCATTACTATCTATTGTGACATGTCAGTGGGCATCCTCAGGCAGTGTTACGGTATCATTGGCAGAGATACTTTAGCCTTTGGCAGAATGCTGTTGCACTCATGTACTAAACTAAGTCTCATGAACTGAGAAAAAGTTTGGGTTATATTTAAAAAATTATCAGAGTTTTCTAATATGTATTTTAAAATGTAAATAACACAATTAGCTAAAATATAAAACTAAAACCTAAATACAATTTAACTGTCTAACTAACATATTTCTATGTGACATATAATGCTAAGTGCTAGCAAGGAGATAAATGTCATCAATACTAGGAGCAGTTTCAAGAACTTGTAAGAATTCTGCCCACCAATTTGAAAATAATCATTGGAAAATTGTAGTTTAAAAGGAGCTCTTTCTATTGGTTATATAAAGATCTACAGAAATAGATAGCATTGAGTGCAAAATTGTATCTCTGTGTTGCTTCTGTCAAGAATTCCCAAAATATTTATTTTTCCTTATTGGAACTTGCCCTAAGGAATATGAAAGAAGGATGTGTAAACAGAGTAATTAGCCTATTTTTTGTCTGGACATTAAAGTCCTATGTACGAAAAGAATTGCATAAATTACAGAGATCAAAAACTAAAACTTCTAAATGCTTGTGTCATGGGAGAACAAAAGTGAAGTTTTAAAAAAGTTTCTTTTGAAGTAAAGAAATTAAAACATTGATAGTAAAGCTGCTTAATTAAATTTTGAATGTGACTCAGTAAAATCTCGTGGCTGCACAGAAAAGTGTGCCAGTAAACTTGGGGTTAAATAATGCACCTAAGAACACAGAATAATAATGCATAAAAAGCAGACAATGTCCTATAACTACCATAATGTTTCTGGCTTTTTAACTATGCAATAAGACCTGTTAAAAATTCAGTTAAGCTCATTGATGTGTTTTCTGAGGGAATAAAGTTTGAACTGGAAGTGAAATAGACAATTCTCTGTACAGAAAACAATATAATATAATGTCATTTCATAGATTAAAATTTTAACTTTTTATTGGTTTTAAATAATATAGTATTAAATATCAGAGAGAACTATTGACAATTTGTGAAACAGAGGATGCGGCAGGTGGGTGTGACAAGAGGGTTATGATTTTCTATTTTATGGCTGTGTAATCAAATATGATTTAAGGCTATAAGAATTATGCTTTGCCTGAGTAATAACAATATTATAATGAGTAATTTACATTAAATTTTATACTTTTGGAGGGGTTGGTAATAAATTAGAGAAGAGAAAATACCTAAAGAGCAAATGTCACAATTCTCATACTAGATATTTCTATCATACTATAGATATTTCTTTATAAAATTAAAAACTTAAAACTTATATAATATTAAAAATTGGTTTATATGCCAGATTTATTTGTATACCATAATAATAAAATAGTTTAAATTAATTTTGAATGTAACTTTAAAATGTTGACGTGCACTTTGACCTGCCTGTAGCAAGAGGGTTAATTTGTTTAAAATTAGTAAATACCAGTTTGTTTTTCACTATTTAAGTATTTAATACTTTTTTTTTAATACTAAGGAATGAATTTGGAGTTGAACAGTATTGCTTCTGAAGAACTATCATCAACTTGGGCAGCAGCTTTACCCAAGTTTATATCTCGAAGAGGAGCTCTTGTAGGTGCTGGATCCATGGGAATACGTGGTTACTCATCCACTTCTGGTATATGTGTCTTCTTAATCTGAATTGTTTTTTGCACGTTGATATATTTTATAATTATGAAGCTTAATCTCGAAAGTTTTAATTTTTACGATGTAATGAAAGAATAGTATTTCTTATTAAAGAATAATATGTTTCCTGTTTTAAAATTAATGTTGTGTGTGACCATATCACAACCAATATAGTAAAATTATAAAATTGATATCTTTGTTTTATTTACTTTGCTTTTCTTCTAGATATAAGTCAGAGAAGAGTTTCACTTGACTCCTTTGATCGTCAACAGTCTTTTGATTCTCAAATGAGTTTCCAAGTTAGTGAACAGGAATGGGTTGCTCATGCACTTGCTCGACACCAAAGAAGAAAAACCAGACGAGAAAGAGAGAGATTATGGAGAGGGCACAACCGCATTTATCCCTGGTCTCGAGGCAATAGGCGTGGAAGTGATACATCTTCCCAGAGTGCTGCAGTTGCTACACAATCTAATGCATTGAACAAAACTACTATAACACAGGCCACAAGTACTGGTGACCTGAATCAGGCTCTCTTTTTTCATAGACCCCCTACAGCATTTGTGATCTCCAGGCCTATGATACAAAAACATAATTTAATAAATCCTCCATTTACACATGGTATGACTGACAACTCTCATAGGCAGCAAAAATCAAATGATATGAATGACAACTCTCATCAGCAGCAAAAATCGAATAGCCATCCAGCAGCTATTGGAAATCTTGGAACTATGCCAGGTATCTTAAATCAATCAGGATTTATGTCAAATGTTGGATTGTTTGGATACATGGGCGCTGGCTTACCTGGACAGGTTGGATTGCCAATGGGAGTTGGTTACCCACCTCTTCCTGGAAGTGTTGGCTACCAGCATTACAATAATATGCCTTTCAGAGTTGGTTATTCTCCCTTCCAAAGTATGGCTGCCACATTACCTCCAGGTCATTCACCCATCTTACCAATGCACCCAATGATTGATAGTTCTAGCGAACAGGATTTTTTCCCAATTAGAATATCAGATACGTCGGACTATGATGCTGGCCTTATGTCACAAGATGAGGCCCAGATCTTGTCTGCACAAAAGCTGTTGGAGCAACGTACAAGGTGTCTCCAAACACCTAGTGATGTGATCAAACCATTTCCCCGTGTATCTCAAAGGTCTAGTCGACAATCACAAAGAGAATCTGTCAACCGTGTCCAGTCTGCTACTCAAACAGAAAGAGAGCCACTGCATACTGGCTCCAGTAGAAACAGCAAACAGAATAAGAACACCGAGGAAGCTTTTGAAATGGCTGAGAGGAACTCATTTATACCATCTGCTAATTAATTTGCTAATATCAGCTGATGGTATTTGTAAGTTGAACATTTATTAGCCAAATATAATACCAGGTCACAAAGAAATTAACACTGCAATACACAAAAAGTGATAATTTTTTGAGATGAGAAATAATTTGGACGTATACTGTTGTATTTTATCAAATTTACAATACACCACAGAAATGACAAATTAATGGTGATGTAATGAGCAACCTAGACAGGAGATTACTGGTGGTTATATCCAGAATATTCTGTTAAAAAGGAGAGTTAACAATTTTGTTTTTAACCACATTACACTCAGTAAGCAAAATTTCACTTGTACTGCTTATGATTTTTGAAAAATAGATAATTATTTGTACTAAAGAATGTCTCGTACAATTGTAGTGTACAATTTATCTGACTCTTTGTTTTCTTAAAAATCATATACATGTAAAGTAATCATGAACTTGTTTTAAACTTAAACTTAGGAGATATCATAATATATGTTTCAGTATACTTTTTATTAATGTACATATATTATGAAGAATAAAATATCATGATGACACATGGAAAAATTTTACTATCTATAAGTACACTTCATACACATTAAATGTTGATATCCACACTGTTTTTTAATCTTATTTTCATGTACATGTAACTATAAAGTTTCATGCAACATGAACATGAGTCACAGACAAAAATGTAAAAATGACATGTTGGACATTCAAAGTTATTTATTTACTAGTGATTAGTCCTTTTTTTTAATGCAAATGGAACTGTGATATTTTAATGTGCACTGTGCCAACTCAATCCAATAGTCTTGAATAGGTGTAATATTACTAAAAATGATACCCAAATCTAGGCCTACTGAGTATGCAAGGGTCAAGAAAAAACAGTTTACTATTTCCTTTTAAGTAGAATACCCAAACTATTAGAAAGTATAATATATTTGACGTGGTACAATTAACTAAATATTTCTGAGTGGTTTTTATTTAAATTAGTTTTATTATAAACTAACAAAAACATCATTTCACAAAAGTCTTGGGGAGGGAGAAGGAAGGCTGACCCTGTGTTGTTGTCCCCCCCCCCCCCAAATTCAGTTAGGGGTCCACACTATGGCATAATCTGCATATATATATGTGTGTTAATTGACCTGATCAGAAATGTCTCATAGAAACTCCTATTTGGGGTTTCCCTCTGAACTTGGGGGAAGTAGCTGCCTCCGTGAGCCCTCCAAAGACACCTCTACAAACTAGACGAAAGTGTTATATCTTTTGTTATGCTGTAAGTGCCTTTTCCAAGCAGGCGAAACATGATTATAATTAATTATACTTGGCATAAGACATTGATATTAGGCCTATTATATCTAATAAAACTGCATTCTTTATTTAGTTCTTTTGGGATTTTCAAGAATTGGAAGACTGTATAATAGCAGTATACCAACCACATTGTGTTCACTATATTCGTTGCCAATGAGGTTTATTGTGGGAATGCCTTTTTAAAGATGGCAAAGCATGATTATAATAAATGTATGACTGAAAGTTGTCTTATGTTTGACAAAGCCATCTCTAAGAATTCGTCTACAATGAATAAGTACATTGTCATGATGAAAGCTGCCCAACAGAATGAAAGTGCTGTTGCATAGGATAAACGTAGCTTGATAGAATGTTATTGTACTAACTAGCTGCTATTCTTTGTTTTCAGTGCAGTGATTAGTGCAGTTCCATGTTAAAAAAGTGTAGTTCAGCCCATAAACAAATTGCATTTACCTCTGAAAGTTTTTAGTCTCTTATAGTGGGTTGTCTTTATGCATGCAAACATGTGATTCAGCTGTGTTTAACCATGCAAATTAGTATGCAACAGTCCTCTACCAATACAAATGCAATAAACCCTCTTATCACAGCTTACTCCCTTTATTAGTTGAACCCAATCTTCACTTCTCGATTTGGCACAACATTGTTAAGACCTAGTGCTTGATTTCAAACATTTTTATTTTCTCTTCTTTAGTGTGTTTTGAAAATACTCACTTACTGATTTTTGAATTTCCAAGTATTGTTTGTAATCCACTATCAAGTTGGATTTCTTTATTTGATAGTGAATTCTATTTCTCACTCAATTGCTGGTAGTCAGTGGGTATTTATGAATTCCCAATTTAATATTAAGACTACAATGGCCACTGACAGTACCAGCATTCAACAGTCTGTGACGACAGGTGTTGCATTATCAGCAGAGGAAGTGCTGACAATAGCTCATTAAGAGATGGCATCTTTCATGCAGGCTGAGGGATCTCCCAATCTACAAGCAATTCTGTCATTACCTGAGAACTTAGATCAGGATGATGTAGCTTTGGACAACCTTTATCCCTTCCTCTGCTGTGTAGGCACGTTTTCAGCCTGTTGAAGACCCTAGACTTCAGTCACCATTTTTAGACTTGGTATCACAGGTATGTTGTGTTTTCTCTTTGCCACCCCTGTCATTTGATCCCTCCCCTTCCTTATTAACTGCAGCAACTAGTTCTGAGTTTTGTATTTCCCTTCTTAGCCTGATATTGGGGTCTTGCCAAACATTTTGCATATCACTTACATGCAGGGGTAAGTATGCCACATCCTCTACATGCTGCGGAGACTCATGCACTTGCATATCATCGTTCAGCAAACCTTTGGGTAATTCGAGTTTTCCCAGAAGGACTCTATTCTTTTCCTCACACCTTTCGCCTTATTCCCCTCTTTAAGATCCTGTTTCTCGCCAGCATCTCACAGAGTAGTTCAAGTCCTTCTCACCAAGGGGACCATCAAACAGGTTTCTCCTGTACTTCCATGATTTTATTCCCAATTGGCCTGGTGGTTAGGGTGCTTGACTCACAATCTGAGGGTCACGGGTTCGAATCACTGTCCCACCAAACATGGTCCCCTTTCAGCCATGCTGGCTTTGTGTAATGTGATTGTCAATCCCACTATTCGTTGGTAAAAACGTATCCCAAGTGTTGGCAGTGTGTGATGATGACTGGCTGTCTTCCGTCGAGTCTTTCACTGCTAAATTTGGGATAGCTAGTGCAGATAGCCCTCCTGTAGCTTTGTGCAAAATTCAAACCAAACTTTATTTCCGAATGGTTATTGGCATCCTATTTTTTATCTCTTCTGACTGAATTGCTTCCTAATTGTGCCTTGATTCACCATGGAGTTCTACCTGTCTCTCAGATTGGACTTTCTTCCAGGTCTATGGATGACGAGTTTTGATGTGTTTGACACTTATCTTCACGTCGTTGTTTATGCCTTGACCACGAAAATCACGTTTATCAAATTCGAGCTTTTCCTTTTAAGCTGGCATCAGCATTCTACACTTTTGCATTCTCAGTTTCCATCTTTATATGAACGATTGGCTTCTTCTGGTTCCATCCTTTGTAGAATCTTCCTCATACACACAACTTTTCCTCAAAGAAGCTGCTCAGGCGGGTTGGTTTATGTAAGTGGAAAAGTTCATTTTCTACCTAACTTAATATCTTGTTCATCTTGGGAGTTTCAATCTCAGGCAATCCCAGCCTCCTCCTCTTTGTCTGTGATCCATGGAGTTTTTAGTTCAGAGGGCACTATTAGCACCTTCTCTCCCTGCACAGAAGGTTCTATCTCTTTTGGGCACTTGGGCATCACTGGAGGCTCTTATCCCTCTCGGCCATGCCCACGTGCATTCCTTATAGTGGGTACAACAATATCAATGGTACTGCATCAGGTACCCTCTAAATTTACAAATATCCCTTCCTGCTCTCTGCCAGTCCAACTTTCTCTGGTAGTTAGAAGAGGCAATGTGACAGTGGATGTACCTATTCCTCTTCCCCATCTGGATATCTACGTCTTCACAGATGCCTCATTGTCAAGATGGGGTATGTGCTGCAGTACACAGGAGATCCCTGGCCGTTGGCCTCAGGGGGGGTTAGACCTTCACATCAACGTTTTGGAACTCTTTGCTGTTTGTCAGGCAATGGTTGATTTTCTGTTATCTCTGCAGGATATTATAGTTATGATTCATTCCAACAACTCAACAGTTGTCTCTTACATCACCAGTCAAGGGAACACTCGATCCTGGTCCTTATGTTCCCACTATCTAGATCTCCTCTTCTGGGCTTATAGCCATCAAATCCGTTCACTGGCTTGTTGCATGCTGGGTGCCCTCAATCTTTTTGTGAATCATTTGTTCCAGCCCAATAAGATTCTACCCATGTAGTGGTTTCTCAACCCCAGGTATTTCAATAGCTATGTTCCCAGTTGAATTCTCCTTAGTTGCATGCATTTGCCACTCATCTGAATGCCAAACTTCCTCTCTTTTGGACTCCAATACCACATCATTTGGCTTTGACAGTGGATGTGTTCAGCTAGGATTGGAAGAACGTTTTCCTTTATGCATACTCTCCCATCCATCTTCTACCCCGAGTAATATCTCTCATCAAATCCACTCCATATTAGGTCCTTCTTGTGGTCCTTTTCTGGCCAGCCCAACCATGGTTTCTGTCCATTCTCCAGGAACAACCTTCATTATCTTTTCCTCTCTCCCAGTCCCTGCTCTGGCAACCTCACATAGGAGTGCTTCATCCCTCTGTCCCCACACACTATGGCTTCATGTGTGGCTTTTTTTCCGGTCCCTTGTGAGGGGTTTCGGGCTATCCATGTGTGTACTGTCTCTGTTGTCTCACACTTCCATTCCTTAATCATGTTCGTGTATCAACGCAAGTGTAGAATATTTCGTCATTGGTCTATTCTGCATGGATTCTCACCTTTCCCTCTCAGGGTTATTTGATAAGAGTTTGTCCTTTTCAACAACTGTGGCTTTAGAGCAGCCCTATTATGTACCTTTCGTTTTTCCTGTGTGTTCTCCTTTCCAGTTATTTTCCTTCCTTCTATATCCCATATTTACTCCCACTCTGATCTAGATTGTCTCCCGTGTTTGTTCTATTCTTTATGGTGTTATGTATCATGCATTGCACCCTTATGTGGCTCTCGCTCCCATTTGTTTATCCATTGGAATCCATCCATTTCTTGTGATATTTCTCCTATCACCCTTACTGGTTAAGTTCATCAGGTTATCCTTATTATGTAATCCTCCCTTTCTCCTATATTTTAGCCAGTTGTTCTGTATATCATCCCATCAGATTCATCAGCTCATTTCTGTTCTTTGGAGGAGATTATCCAGGTTGGCATGTGGACCACTCCCCACAGTTTTAAGTTGCATTACTCTATAGCCATTCTCCATATGTCTGTACAGTGCTGGGTGAGTAAGTTACTTTATTTCATTTCTCCATGTTGTTTTTCAAGTCCTTCTTTAACTGTTGAGGATCTTGTTCTGTGGCCAGTGGTGCCTGTCCAGGTATGCTGATATTCAAAATTGCATTGCGAGATCTATAAGGTCTATCACGCTCAGTGTTGAGCTGGGGTGTACCACAATACTGCTTGCAGGTTCTTCCTTGTAGCATATTGCATCATAAATGTTTGTACTGGTCCTACACTCATGGACTAACTGACATA